AATCAATCAAAATAGTTTAGGAAATCAAACAATTTTTAACATAAATACAAGTCTAGTAAATCAAACTTAGACATATAAACATCCTAATTTCTCACAATCAGATTCCTCAAGCCCATCGAACCAAATGGTTTAATCCAAAAAATAGTCCACAACATGTGAATTCTAAATATAACAATGTCATTAAATTTAACAACTTGCAATTCTCTATATTAATTTAACATACAAAAATAGCACAACAAATATATATATATAGGGAGACCAATTCTAGAATTGTAGGAGTGAAGTTCTTAGCTGTGATCTCTGAAAAGTAAAAGTAGAAGTATTTTTTGTTGTTGCTAAGACTAAAGAACCCCACATGTTTGAGAAAATACATGACTAGTCTTGAGTTTAAAATATTTTCAGTGGGGGAACCTTCTAACATATTTTAAAATTTCGAACATTTTATCTTACTCCCCAAACATTTTTAAAATTCTAGTGGGGGCAACTTTTAACATATTCTAAAATATCACCTAACTCCCCAAATACTTTAAAAATTCCAGTAGGGGCAGCTGCCCCCACTTTAAATCCACCTCTGCATTGCACCGTGATGTCACGAGTTGCTCTAGTAATATATAAATTACGGGACATGAAAAAAGAAAGATAGAGATAAAAAAAAAAAAAAAAAAAGTTGATGGACGATGCTTTCAGGTTCTCTCTCCCTCTCTACACAAAGAGTCCAAAACAAACAGTCAAAAGACAAGAATTATATCGAATTCAACCTGATTGGTACTTCAATGCATGAATTTTTAAACTCGGTTACACAACTCTAGGTTGAAATCGAAGTTCTATGCAGACTAATCTTCCGCTGATATTGGGGTTCATATTTCTTGATTACATCTACTGTAACTTGTAAAAAAAAGGAGGGGAAAAAAAAAGTTCTAAACTGTACAATTTTTTATGGTGATTTTTTAGGGTGGATTTGTTAACGTTTTCGTTTTTATGTTTTTTTTATTAAAAAAAACTAGTTTTTGTTTTTCTGTGATAAAAATTAAAAATATAACACATTAATATAAATTGTGAAAACAAAAATAAAAAAACCTGTTTTGTATTATACCAATAATTCACCACCCAACCCCACTGACCACCCAAAACCACCACCGAAACCCACCACCACCACCGAGATCTGAACAGCATCATCCTAGATCTAAAAATAAATGAAAAATTTTGCGGAGAAAAGGGAGCTTACTGCTTCGCCGGAGATAGAGGTATTCGCAGGAAATAAAAGTGTTCGCCGGAGATGGAGATGTCGCTGCAGCTGGAGGAGGTTGTTCGCCGGAGTTGGAGACGTTTGTTGAGCTAGAGCTTGTTCGAAGAAATGAGTAGAATGCATTTTTCTTGGCATTTACATGGTACCTTAACTCATTGAAGAGTTTCAAGTGATCCATGTAACGACGCTGAAAGAGGGGATTGTTTCTGAGTGTGACAGGGAGAGTGAGAGTGAGAGTGAGTCATCCGTCCACTCATGATGAAACGATTAAAATTGGTAAATAGGCATATCTTATTCTTGGAATCCTCTTATTTGTTGACTGAAATCGATGGAAGGAGCGGCGCAGGACTGACGAGAGACACTTTATAGGTAGGGCATCCCAGACCCCAAGGATTGGGCCTGACCCGACGTGGAGTAATATTATTTTAATTTAAAATTTTCATCTTATTTACTAACGTGATTTAATATAATTTTTAGATTAATTATAAATTCATTAAATATTAAAACTTATTTTTGATCTAATGATTTTAATTAAATTAAATTAACAAATAAAATCTATTTTTAAATTTAAATATCATTTCCAGAATTACTAATTATTAAACTAGAATAAATATTATTTTATAAATTTTACTACCAATTAAAGTACGTATATCAAAAAAAACTTTTATTTTCCAGTTTTAGCCTTAACTAATATTACAAAACCAGTTTTGTCCATCATAACTATTAGGAGATGGTGGCCTTTCTGTTTCGTGTCTTAATTAATCTTATAAAATTAATTTTATTCATCACAACTATTGGTGCCTTTTTTGTTTCTGAGCAATGAATATAGCAGTTATCCTCTCACCTTATGTTCATTCAAGAAGAAACAAAAGATCTCTTGCATCTTGATTCCATCAATTATCGTTCCAAAGGTATGGATTAGTGTCAGTTTTCGATACGGTAAGAGGATCCATATTCCATATATTTTCGATCTTCTCATCGATTGGTTTTGCTATTCTTTTTTGCTTGCTGCGATTGATTTGCTATATATGCTTCGCTCAAGTACTATTTCACGGATATGATCATCTCATTCAATCTACGAACCCACTGTTTCTATTCATCAAATGTTGAACCCTTTTTGTAAGATTTGGTAATGGCCTTCTCAAGTCCGTGGCCCATGTGAGTTATTCGTTGCATTTCATGGATCACTGTTTGTCACCATTTTCTGGCTTTTTGGTTGATTGAGCCAATCTGTTGCCCAAATTTTTCATTTCCTTTTATTTATCTTCTTGTCACTTTATCCTTATGCGCAAATGAAAGTGAAGTGATTTTAACATAGTTTTGTATAGTCTATGATGAGATGAATTTTTTGTTCTTCTTGGCTGCACAAACTAGTCAATGATGTGATGAAGTTTTTGATCGTCTTGGTTGCGTAGGTGTTTCTGCTAGAATGCTACCCTTCATTTCTTTCAATTCAATTTGTTAAAGTTTTTTATTAGTATCTTTACTTTATGCTTCTGCCAGAATTTTTTGAACAATTATTTTCTGTTGCTGCTCACACTCCTCTCTATTTTTAATCTCATTCTAGTTATGCGGGTAATATTTCTAGTCTATACATTGGGTATTAGACGATCATTGAACTAATTTACTGGTTGGTTGTTGCCATGGATTACTCTGATTTTCTCATTCTAACAATCGTGAACTTGTCTTTGTCATGGATAAGCATTGGACTGTTATTTCAATGGATAGCCATTGAACTATATACGTCATGGATTGTTAACTGATAATTAGATTGTGTTTGATTGGTTTGTTATATTTGTCATTTTATTTTGTGTATATGCAAAAATAATTGGGATATTTGTGTTACCCACCTTTTTTCTTGCAAATGATTTTATTAATTGGCTTGCACAATAAAATTGATATTGCTGATGACGATTTGCCTTTTCTCTATTGTGTTTATCATTGGTGATTGCTTCAACGTGACCTGAAATCATGACAATTACTCCACCAAGTAATTTAATATAGGGGTCTGAATATATTGTTGTGTGTTGTTTAGGTTATGTAAAATATTTATCGTGTGATGGATGGATGGGCTCATAGAAAATGACATCCATTTGAATTTATGTTATACTAAAGGATATTCAAAAAATATTATTAGGTAAGTCGTAGAAACATTTTTGAAAAGTTACTTCAAACACACCTTTTGGGGACATATTTTTTCTATTAAATTTGGGGAGTTAATATTAGCTGTCGAATTAACTTTAAAGTAAAATTTAAAATGATCTCAACTGGGAAAAGTAAAAGTCATTTTATTTGTTGTACTTTATTATATAGATTATAAACATGGTTACATGTCTTACCAAAAAAAAAAAAATGGTTACATGTCACTGAAACACTCTGTATTAACAAAAATCAACTCAATGTCTCCCAGAGCTTAGATTTGCGCAGTTTTTTAAATTTTAAACATTATATTTTGTAGGTTAAAGTTGCTTCTAGACATGCATAAATTGAGTTACTAATCCAAAAATATCTAGATACTAATCCAAAAATATCTAGTTTCCAAGTAATTAATGTTAAGTCCTTGATCATTTGAATCTCCTCCATATATTCCGAATTTTCATAAGGCATGTGGAGGTACTGGGGAATAAATGGTCTGAATTTATTCGAAGGGTAACAGTTTAGCAGCAGCTGTTATGTAGTGATTTTGAATATTTGCTGTCCCAAAAGTTGACCATCAGTCCTCCAGTCTGTAAAGCTTGTGCAACAGTTTAGCAGCAGCTGTAATAAGTGGGAAACCATAGTTTTTAATGGTACTCAGCAGTTGTAGTGGACTGGTGCTTCTCTAGCTATATGAGTATGCCTGCCCTCTTCTGATGTGCTAAATTTTGTGGTTTGTTCAAGTTAAAGGCATGATGTAAGTGCAAATCCGATAGTATTTGACGTATATACTAGTCCACAGGCATACAGTGAAATGTTCCAGCTTGGAACAGAAAATGGCACTAGTTACTCCAACAAACTTGTATTTTTAACTTTAATCCCTTTAATGTATTGAGCTTTATTTTTTAATGGATTTGATATTAAAACTAGTTATTTATCAGTCTGTATCTGTTTCTAGGTTGAATCTTTTCCTCATGTCATGATTGGTTTGACAATATACGCAGATTTTGTTTCCTATCCAAGGAAAACTGAAACGTTCTACTTTCTTGATAGCCTTGCTAGAATGGGAGGTTGAGGATCAAAATAGTGCACCACTATGAACAGTAAAAGAGAGACTTCCTCTGTAATGCTGCTATTACTTTACAACCAAAGTAGCTGCATGTTTATGCACCTTTGGCACATATGTTGTTTGCATTTGTATTTTATCTTTGTTTTCTTAATTTGTTTGGCATGTCTTCTAATACCCACTTCATTCACGTTGTCAGCTTGGTGGGCATAACACAAGCCCTACTCCGGAGGAATTCATCAATATTCCCTATGTATTTGGTGAATTCTTTGCTCAAGGGAACGCTATCCACGCAGCTTCAAAATTCAAGGGCTCGTTACACTTGCCTGTAAGTAAATTTCAAGCCTCTTTAGAGATGCTGAGTAGTTCCGGTCAATGAGCAGACAAGCTATTGCAGATTGTAAGTATCGGTTGAGCTGCTGCCATCTCTTTCCTGTGGACATATCGCCATGGGTATGAAATTTGGCTGCAAATGTCCCAGCTTCAAAGTAATGCCTTGACCATTGTTAATAAGGTTTGTGTGCAAAATCCAGTTGGCATGATGGACAACCCATGTGGTTTTCGGCCACATACCACAAACTCTTGGCACTTCACGGGGAAGGCCGTGTGGAACAAAATATAGTTGAGGCTGAAGAGGGCGGTGGGCAGTTCAGAAAATGTAGCTGCAGCTCTGGATGGATACCCTCAGAGCCTTGTGAGGTGATATATCATCCAGGTAGAGGCAGGGATCTACGATGGGTACATTACATCACTGTCCCAAAAAATGAGTTGAAGGAATTTACCTGCTGTGGTGATGGAGGCAGAGTAGCAACAAAAAAAGAGGAAAATTTTAATACGAAATTATGTCCAATAAATTTTTAAAATTATTGATCAAATTTAGCAAACCAGCGCAGCACTCGTGGGTGTTGTCTTGGTTGGAGAGTTGGTTTTGATTGGTATTTTTAACGAAAAAGTATGATTTTCATTCCTTCATTGACTTGGTATAATTTGAGTTGTTTTGGAATTAAATGGTTTTTTTGTGTATAGTTATGGTAGGATTGGGATCAAGTATATTTCTATTTTGTGGGAGACCCATTTCTGGTGAATTTGGTATGGAGCAAGAATGAATGCCGTGCACAACGAAGGCCTCGTCATGATGACAACACAAGATAAACATAAGACAAAAGGATAGGAGTCGGTTGCGAAATTGACACTTTTCATCTAATCAATGTCAAAAAATGAAACGTGGAGGGTGGTAGCTATGATTTGTCGCTGCGAACAGAAAAAGAGGTCATTCCTGGGTTGTCATTGTCAATTTCATTGCGGGCCTTACCCAGTCAAGCTCAAGCATCTATTTATTACTAACCCCTATTTTTCAGGAAGTTGTTTTTGTTTCGTCACAATTATATAACTCGAGTAGTCTTATGATGCGTTTCGTCCAGTCTAACATGTTTCCAGGATTGATGCGCATACTACATGTGCAAACTGATTTATGTTTTCAGCCGCCATAGGTAGGCCAACAATGTTGAGTTAGACCTGGATGAATCGTTAGTATTTTCTGTGCTTAATTGATATTCATGGTTTGTGGGTAAATTATTGGTATCCGTGGTTTATTCTCACAGGGATAGATCTAATGTGGCCCAGTCTTGAAGAGGTACTTCATTAAAAAAAACAAAAAAAACGAAGTTATTTATGTTCTCAAATATAACCTCGTGTGATGCACAAAATTGTATACCTACCTTTCCCTTGCTGGATGTATAAACCCTTCGTTGCCTAAGTCAGTCAGCGTGCCAATGAAAGGATATGATGGATACAACGTAAGTTGAGTTGCATGTGTGTAAATGAGACCTAGTCTTTTGGACTATTTATACCTTAAAGGGTGCTGACGTGTAATTATGTGGGTCATATTACTTAGAGCTGCATATTTATTATGCTCAAGAGTATCTTGCAGGTGGTTGGAGTCAAATGTTGTAATGATAACATCACTCGAGGGCCGAGTAATTAATGCGGTTTGCAAAGCATTTAAAGCATTCATTGGCTAATGTTCAGCATTCATGGATCCAGCTCCTCTGCTTTTCTCTGAAAATGGCGAGGGATGATGTTCGCCCAAAAACGACGCCGTTTTTTCACTTTTTTTTTTTTTCGTTAAACGGTACCGTTCCAATAACCCATGAACTGTGCCTTCAGCCCCTCCCCAAATCAACAGTCCTCTTCGTCGAGTAGAAGTCGAAGTTCTCTTCATCGCCGCGCCTCGCCTCGCTTCGCTATCGCCATTGGTATCTATCGCCATCATCGTTCAATCGGCATCGAAAACAAACAGTGGAGGAAGAGGAGACCTTGCTTGGTAATGTTGCTACTCAATTTCACCCAAGATGGGTTTTTCTTTTTTTGCCCTAAGTGGACGAGTTGGGACAAAAAAATTCAAACTTTCGATTGATTATATGTAAGCTTTTCTCTGCTCTATTTGACATTATTATTTTCTTTTGGATTCTTGTTTGTTTGATTGGGAAATTTGGGTAGTTTTTAGCATAAGAAACAAGACCTGGGTATGTGTTTGATGCTCCATTTTCTGATTTTTAAACAAGAAAAATGGGTTTCTTACACTTATGGGAAGAAAAGAAAAATGGGTGAAGGGTCCTTAAATCCACAAACTTTCCTTTCATTCCAGTTCTTTTCTTTCCAAACCATTGCATACAAACATAAGTATTTCATGAATCTTAGAATTTGCATTTAGTAGCATGAACTGTATATTTAAGCAAACCAGACTTGTAGTTGGGATAAGTTCTATGCAATTCTACCCATAAAACATGGTTTTGTGGATTAAAAAAAACATGGGTTTGTGGCTCTGGGTAATGGGCCGTTTTCAGATTCTCAATTATGAATTTATGGTTTCGGATTTTCAATTATGGTTATCAATTATAATTATGTCATATCTTGCATTTTCCCACCATTTTCAGATTCTCAATTATCCAATGTCTTTTTCAATTCTAAATTATGAATTTATGATTATGGTTGTATTTATTGTTTTGTAGGTTACAACTTGGCATCTTCAAGTACGGGAACAAGTAGTGTAGATCGATGCAAGTTTGTGTGGATGGTCAATGCAAGTTTTGAACAATAAGAGTTGAAGAGGTGATAAAATTCCAAGTGATCTTAATGAAATAAAAAGGGTTGAAGAGGTTGCAACCAAGTGCAAAGTCTAGAGTTGTTTTTCGTTGTAATACTAAAATAATATAACATTATAATTTCATTTATGAGAAAGAGCTTTTGTACATTATGTAATGCTCCATTTTATTTATGAAAATTACCTATTTGTGTGTTCGTGGGATAATTTAGCATTTTTGGATGACGGTAGCATTGTTGGATAATTTCCTTGTTAGATGTTTAGCACCTCAAATACACTTGGATTCAACCATCACCAATCTGAAATAGCATTCAACATCTCACAAATAATATTCAACATTCCAATACAACAAAATTGTTCAACAACACAACTATTGGATTACAAAATGTACTTTCATTTTGCCCTTTGTTCTTCAAATATCCTTAAAAAAGTCATAAAAATTTGTGTTCATAAAGAAGGATTCCGCGCCGAACGAATGCGTTTGTCTTGCATCAAATGATATACCCTACATGAATTGGAATGGATCAATGAAAATAGATGTGAGAATATACATTAAATCAGATATTGAATATACATTAAATCATTGTATGAAAAAACTAACATACCTGAGTATTGGATGTAAAATCAGGTATAGTTTGCAAAATATTGGATGCCTGCGTAGATAATGGTTGTGAACATACTTGTGAAGATAATGACTATGAACATTCTGGTTGTGAAGATAAAGGTATCTTAACGAAAAATAATCCATAAATCAATGTTGTCATATGTTAAGTAGATGTAAGATAAACATACAATAATAATAATAATAAAAAAACATATAATCGATTTGTCATACGTTGGACATTTTAGAGGGTTGTAAAACTACTTTTTTTCTCTTAGCTTGCTTCTTGTGCCACGACTTTAGTCGACCCCAACCTTTGTAATCATCATCCTTCCTTTTTATACCATTTACTTGTAAAATGTTTGGGTCCACATTCTTTGTTCCTTCTTTATCCGCACATGTGCTTTCAACTGAAGCATTGCCTTCATCAATATGTGATGCAAACATTTTAACAACTTGTTCAAACAAATCAACTACACCTCGAGTCACCAACTGATATACAAGCTCAAGATCAGAGCAATGTGATGCTAACTTTACCATTATAGGAAATAGTTGCCTATAATGGGATACTGCCACCAACTCAGGATCCTCCACATTTGATGTAACAATATAATCTCGTGTATAAATATTCCTTGCATCTCTTTATTATGTATCACTTAGGAATTTGCTTAATATTCATTGTGTCCAACCTTTTAAGTGCATGACTACATAATATACCAACCATGTCAAACTTCCAACAACTACAACTAACTATTTGTTCACTAGCTTTTACCCACAAAAAATACTCCCTCTCTTCTTCAAACAATGTAACAACAAAGTGATGATGTTGGCCCACATCATTGCATGACTTCACAACAAAACACTGGAAGGTGTCATACTCATGAAAAAACTTTAACATAGGAGAAGTATAACATTCTCCAGCTTACACCAACATGGGGGCTTTTTTGAACTTCAGTTTTGACAATTTTTGCTTAGCATGATACTCTTCCTCTAACTTCACATAGCGCTTATCATTTACAACTCTATCAAAGTGAATAAAGAATTGAACAATATCATGATCTGACTTTAAGTGCTTTTGCAATTTTGCATTCAAACTCTCACTAAGTTGGGTACTCCTCATACATGCTGTGAAAGTTTTCTTCATATACACCTTATCCCATTTCTCTGTCAATGCCTAAGTTGTAGTTATCCAATTATTGTCCCGAAAATTATTATCATCAAGAAAATTATTCCAAGTCTCAAACAATTCATGTTCTTCTGTATATTCATAGATGCACCTTTGTAATTTTGTGACAAAATTTGAACCACCCTTGTATATATTCTCAAGATGCTTTCAAACATTTTGGGAAAAGTGTCAAGTACATAGCCCATGATATGTCTTTGGCATCACTTGGGCTATTGCCTTAGCCATTATTTGATCTTGGTTAGTGAAGATGGTGATAGGTTTCTTCGCAGACATTGCTTGAAAGAATATCTCAAACAACCATTGAAACGATGCCGCCGTTTCATCATACAATAATGCAGCACCAAATATCATAGTCTTTCTAAAATAATTAAAGCCAACAAAGCATGCAAAAGACCGATACTGCTTATTTGTACAGAATGTTGTGTCAAATGAGACAACACCCCCAAAGTGTCCATAATTAATAATCATTTTCTGGTCAGCTCAAAAAATATTTGTAATACGCTCTCAATATCTAATTGTATACCATAGTAGAATGATGGATTTTTAACTGTTTGTTCCCCAAAATAATTCAACAAAGTACCAACTTCACCATATCTCAACTCTCTTTGCCTTCTATCACAGATGTAATTCTTTTAATCTTGCCAAGTGAAACCTAGCCTTTCCCTTTCACCTACCTGGGTACTTAGAAGTTCATATGAATCTTTAAGTGATATCTCACAATACGTTTCCATGTCAACGTGAATGTCTTGCACTGTAAAAACCTTCCTTTGGGATGACATCATATGCGCACATTCTGTAAGGTGCAATGGATGATTATGATTTTCCTCCCAATTTGGCTATGAATAATTTTCCAATTTCTCGATTAAGGGATACACACATGTGAGCCGGACATTTGGTTCGTGTCTCAGCTCGCGGATTTACTACTTTTCAATCCCTTTTATCCACATCTATTTGCCCCTCTTTGCAACAAACAAATTTTCTATAAATCAAAATATGATCTATCTTACTTTTGTTGTGATAGTCACTTCTCACACTAAATCCGACCAAACCCCCATACTTGTTGTAAAACTCATAAGCATCTTCCTCCGAGTCAAATTACATGTTAATACTTGGAGCGTTGTCAATTCCATTAACCAAGAGCAACTCCATCATAAATCTTAGTACCTAAAATAACAACAAACCAAATCATGAAAAGCATGGCATACTAAAAACGACAAGTTACCAAACTTTAAACTCCCATGGGGCAAAAAAAAAAATTAAGCATTCAATATGCTTTGATCAAAGATGCAATGAAAAATTGAAGCTCTAAAACTAATCAAAAGGTCAACTAAACTGTAGGAATGTAAACATCATAAACTAGAAAAACAACAAATTCCAGGCACCAAACAACCATCTATCACCAAACAAATCAGTCTCTAAGGCTTCATTAATGAATCCATAACAAGCATCATAAGAACTACAATAAGATATCATAAATTAGTAAATATCAAAGACTAAAGCAAAGGCTTCATTAAAGAATCCAAAAAAATCATCCTAATATATCAGAAATTAGTAAATATCAGAAACTGAAACAAAGGTTTCAGTAAAGAATCCACAAAAATTATCATAAGATATCAGGAATTAAAAAATAATCAAACTCAATTAACAATAATTTACCTTGTAGCTAGGGAAGAAATCAGGATATACACCAGTGTAGAAATAATATCATTGATCAAAAAAAGGAAGAAGGGAAAAAGGCAGAAGGAATCCAAGTTGTATGGTTCTCTTATTATAGGGCTTCAAACTTTTTTCATTTGGAAAAGTTTTGTCCTCTTCTTTGGCAAATGACTGTTGATTTGGGAAGGGGCTGAAGGTACTATTTATGGATTATTGGAACGGTACCTTTAACGAGCAAAAAAAAGAGAGTGAAAAACAATGTTGTTTCGAGTGAATATCAACCCTTGTTGTTCTTACGGAAAAATAGAGGAGCTGGATCCGAGCATTCACTGAATGACACTGGACATTCAATGGGATGTACCCCAGGGTATCAGTCGACTGGTCCATGTAAGCAAGAGCCATGCCTTTTTTCAATATGCGGAGGATTTGGTGTTAGTTTCCACATGGATGTAACGACATGGGAAATCATTCCCAGCCACCCATCCTATCAGTCATTTCAAATGACGTTAATGGGTATCGATCGGTCCTAGGGTACAAAATCCTCAATGCGTCCTAATGCCCAACATGGGCAAGGATGTCTCTCAGGTTGTTGAGTACCTTCTTGAGATGAACATGCTCGAGACACATGGTTCATCTAATGGGGTCCGCCTTGATACATTTGTCTTTTGGCATGCTGACTCATGTCTTATTAGTCATCATATTATTTGAAAATTTAGATAAAAAATTATAAAAAAATTAGGGTGATAAAATAATTATAAAAAGTTATAGTGGTAAATT